TTTCGTACTGAATTGTGATTCAAAGTGTCTCTGAGAGGCTGGCAATGCACCTTATTGCTATATAACTTTAGAAACTTCGAAAGAAAGTATTGATTGCAGATATTTAAAGTTTTCTCATCTTAAAGTTTCTTTATTGTAATAAGATTTTTGTCTTCAATTTTAAATTCTTTTTACACAAGTATTACAATATATATTAAAAAATATTAAAATGGTTTGTTTCTTGAGGATAGATTAAAATTTTCTGTATATGGGACGTTTAATTTGAAAACAACATATGATGTCCCATATTTTTCTCATATTATGAGAATTAATAGTGATTATGGTCTTAATAAAGTATACCAAGCATTGTGCATAACATTTTTGTGCAGGTAACACTGAACTTACAGAAGATTTATAAGAAAAAATGTCTGCGCATTGGCTCAACTGCTATCCACTCTGGAAACAGTTTAACCCTCCGCCCGACTCATGTTCCCTTGCTATATTTCTATGATTCATAAAATATTATGGACATAGACTTTTTCGGCTGGTTATTTTTGTGTAAATCGATAGCTACGTACAATTTATGAAGCAACCTCAAGCACAAGTTTCAAATTAGTCTATAAACTATTTAAAATAAAAATATAGAGCGTAGGGGTCTGCATGAACCCAGGTGTCGGACAGAGGGTTAGCTCCCTAACATAAACTCTTTATAACGTACATAGGTGGGAGTAACCATCATGGACCAGTTCAATTTTCTGAGAAATGCCTGGAAATGAAATTTCTCCTAACTTAATATGTAAATTAAGTTTGGGTAAACACACCACACAACACTAAAAGTTTCCTCAAACTTGAGTTCACCTTGCTAGCAAGATTAGAAATATTTAGTAGCAAAGCTGATATAAGCATGCATAATTGTTTAAACGTCCACATGTGAGGAAATACTTAACTCAAAATTTTAATGACAAAATCACACTATCATATTCAGACAATATTGAATGCAATGTTTGTCTGGTTATAAAACTTTCATCTAATAATAAATTTCTATAGGTCAATATTACCTGAACACTACAGTATAATTTTCACTTAAGTTTCTAACTTTTTTATTTAGTTAGTTTTTTTAAAACACCCCTAGACATGAACTCATCCCGTAATTAAATATCCAGAAAATATGCCTCAAATCGAAAATTTGTAGATTTGTTAGGGGTTGAAATAGACAGACTAGCAATCAGTGACCCAAAAGACTTTCGAAAAATGGTTGCTTTTGTGATTTTAGACCAATTTTGACAAAGAATACAAAAGCTTTTTATATAATCGATGTGATGTTTGCCTGTGATCGTATTACCCCTAATAAAAATGTTTTTATTGAAAAATGTGCTTAAAAGCCATAACTTCCGACATAATAAGAAGAATTGGTTGACTTTATCAGAAATGTTATTATGTGAATAACCTCTCAGATTGTTTATGTTTGCTTTCCTCCATTTAAAACTAAATCAACAAAAAAAGTTGAATATCGAGATTCATAAATCTTTACCATAAAGAATATTGAAATCTTATATTTATAATTTAGGGAAATCTGGATTTATTTAAAACTTGCATGATTTTAGAAAAATGTTATTTAAAATTCTTAAGGTTCTATATAATATATCATATAACTAAAAGAAATTAAATGTTATATGTGAATTTAGAAACATTTATAAACATAAGTGAAATAGATTTAAAAAAATCATAAATTAAGTTAACTGTAACATATTTAAGTTACTTTTTACTTCTAAATTTCTGAAATTTAAAAATCTGTTCAATCTTCATTCAATATTAGCATGGATATTTGTCAGCAGTTTACACCTTTTGTAAATACTGATTTGTAATTGAAATTCTTGAGAGAACCAAAACTTTGAGAAATATGAAAGTTTCTTGCAATCTCATTATTAATGCAAAGCTCTTGTCTCTCATTTTTGTCTTATTTTAAATTGCTGGTTCTTTGAAGAGAAGCATTATTTCGAGACACTTCAAGTCACTTTACGAGCTTCCTGTTCTTAATCTCAAACATCCACCAAGAGAGAAAATTTTGTTTTTAGCTACAGAAAGGTACTTATACAAATATAATATTAAGTATAATAATTTTAAATATATCGGTTTTAAATGACAGACATATATCTATTTTCTAAAGTTGAAAAAGTATAATTATGTTAGTACTTGAATCTTTTATAATACTTTATAAAAATATAAATGTTAAAATTTACAAATTTGTAAGAAAAAATAATTTAAAAATCAAAAAATTATCGGAGATACCTATAGCATTAAAAATAAGATGTAAAATTCTTACCTTGTTAATACAACTTAAATCGTCAAGTTAAAAAATTTTCTCCTTTATGACATTCTACTAATTATAATTCTAATTCTAAATTTAAAAAAAATTTACGACCGGAAGCAAATTCGTCACCTTTATTAAAATTACCAAACTGTAAACGTTTTTGATCCTATTGTCACTGTTGGTATATCAAAATAATCTTAGTTTAAAACCTTTCTCTTATAAAAACTTACGAACCTTCCATATATTAAGTTATTAATGATTGCCCGCAATTGAAACTATTGGAGATATATTTAAATGTATAGAAAATATATAGCAACAACTAAAGTAAAATTCAGTTAAACGGCAACTATGACTATTATTAAACCAACTATTATTTGAATGGTTTTAAAAAAATACTAGTGTACTTATGAACACTATTATCACACTCATTAGTATAATCAATAAAGCTATAAAAGATTTACTGAAAAGACAAAAAATTTGATCGTTATAAATAATGATGTTGTATCAAGAAAATTGTATTACAGTGATAAATTTAGAGATGTAGCTCTGCTTTTGTCCATTTCGATTTGAAATCGCATCGAAGATGGAAAATGGTCCTATAGAAGCTTGTGCAGGCTATTTACAAAGTTCCCTCCTGGGGTGGTGAAGTCTCCATAAGTCTCGAGAGCTGCGGAAAAAGAAAGCAATATTTTATTGGATTATTGCTTTCTACTTAGTTCTTGTTACTGAGAAATCCTTTACATTCTGAAGATATCTTTTTATTTTTTTCTTGGACAGTATTTTAAATTTTTCAAGAAAATGCAGGCTATAACTGTTGTATATTGTGCTGGTCAAAAATTAGAACTGATACTTGTTTAATATAAATTGAAATTAATTAATTTATAAAATACTCTAAATACAATTTTGTCTTACTTAAAATTACCGCTTTGATACTTGTTTTCAATTCGAGAAAATTTTTTGAATCAGTTCTCTCTTAAGGGTTCCTATACCCTTACCTTTTAATTCAAAGATTGTTTAAGCGACCATCTATAATGAGCTAGACCCTAGGTATATATTCAATACAATTTACAAGTGTTTTGCTCTGAATGCTACATTTGCACATTCTTACTCGTGTTATTTTAGGACCCAAATAACGACAAACTATCTGACAGATAAATTTTTTTATAATTTGTAATTACTTTAATTTCTTGAATAATAAAATTATATGAATTTTAATTAATATTAATTATTAAAAAAATTAATGTAATACAATTTAATATATAATTATAATAAATGAACTTCTATATATATAAATACGAATACATATGTAGACATAGAATTTTAAATTGTTTTCAATTTGTAGACACTTTGAAAACGCATTCACTAATAATTATTTTCCACAGGGAACTATAAATACTTTCATACAGAAAATAAAACAATAGTAAATTATTTTAATGTTTTTTGAATGATAATGCAATGCAGTGGAGGGATTACATTTAATATAGGTATAGGCAAGGAATTTTGAAAATAATTCAATATTGTACTCAAAATTTCAACTAACAATTTATTTATCAATACTTAACATAAATTCACGCATATCCCATTGCATGTAATCTCCCATAAAAGCAATTGAATTCATTAATTCCAATAAATTTATAAAATTATTTCAATCAATTGGGTTCCAATACATTTCATTGTCTTAATGAAAATAATTGTTTCGCATTTTGTACATGTTTCAAAGTTTACAATAGTAAACAGATGTTTATTTTATTTGATTGTAACGTATGTTTATTTTAGTGGTTGAAAATTTGTAATACCTAATATATTGTAACTAATTATTTATAAATTGACAATTATCCGCTTTGTAATAATTTTCTTTTTCAGACATTAATATAATAGAATATTAAAGATAATATATGTGTAGTAAATATATTATTAACTGAGAGATATTAAAATATTATGTATGACAGTGAATTTTATACATATTAATATAAATTTAATAAAATATAATTTATAAATATCTACATACTTTGTTATTACATTAAGATGATAAAGCTAGCAACGATCTGTTCTTCTAAAAAATCTAGACAGCTAGCCCGAGGTAGCCTAGATATAAGATCTTGATACACTTAGCGCCACATCATACCCTGTACACTGCATCTAGCCCAAATGTACATTTTCTTATACACATTCAGGATTTTCTATACGAGAAGTGTCTCTAAAACACTTCGCATTATGTACGTCAGGGACTTGTGTTCTTTTTCGGGTATCTAGAAATTTATCAAGTTTTATAAAACAGTGAATTCGATTTTATGCTTTGAATAGCTTTGTAAAGATGTTATAGAATTGCTAAATAATTTCTTTATATCATGTGCTAAATAACATGACATTTTGTATTCACTTTGCAAATTAAGTTTGCTGCAAAGTTGACAAACATAAAAATGCCTCTTATACAAGTTTCCCTCATAAAACTTGCCGAAAATTTGCATAGCAATCTTGCAACAAATTATTGTAGCATATTTGCCAAAAACTGTCCTTTTAATCTAAGTGCAACTCATGATGAATAATTTTACAAAATCCTGTAATTGTTTACGATGGCTGCTGTAAATAAAGTTAAGTTTCTAAAAAAAATAATGTTAAACTACTTGTTAATTTAAAGAAAAAACCAAAGCATTTTTTGACCCTGTATCGTTTATAAAAAAATTTGTTGAAAAAAAGTTTAGTAACTTACCGTGCTTTCCATAGTTGATATAGTGCGTATGATGTGAGTGCTGTGCTCCTACAATTTCATTATTTTCCTCCTCTTGGAGATCCATTTTCGCGTAGTTTTTCTTTTGAGCCACTTGGTCGTCCCTCTTCTAATTTTACGCAGTTGAATATATGCCGACAGTACACTTCTTCTGAAAAATAAAGAAGCTTTTTTTTCATCTTGACAGCTGCACTTAAAGCTTAACATATTTAGAAAACAAAGTTAATTGGCAAACCTACATCTGTTACAAAAATGTAAAATGAGTATTGCTGAATTTATTTAAACAATCTTTTTAATGTATGTGTATACATTACTAAATAGAAGGCAATCTATTGAGTACCTTACTAAATCCTCTTCTAATTTCGACACGGAATGAATTTTGTCAAAATATTCATTTTAATATGCACTGCCAATTAAACTGGAAGAATTTTTCACGTTAAATGAAAATTAAAATAAAGAATTAATGCTAAATTTCAGATGCTATGTTCACTTCAATCACTTTGGTTTGTAGGTGATCAAAATTAATAATAAGCTGGAGGGGTGATAAAAAGAGAAAAGAACGCAATAGGACCAGATGACCATGTAATGTCGTAAAAGTTCATTTATACTGCAACCAATGCATTGATAGATCTATCATGTTTAATGCACTTTTAGATCTGAGTCATAAAACAGAAATATTAACTTTCTAAATAAGTTATACACCAAAACGCATATATGCTGTCTTTCCGGTCTGACGGAATTTTTAAAAGTCGTGTCATTTCTGTCAAAATGTTTTTAGTCACAGGGTGGTCACTTTTTTGTAAAAAAAAATTCACGGTCATTTCCCGGTTCATTCCCGGTCATAAATTATTTTTCCCGGTCATAAATAATAACTCTGAAAATAAATTATTCCATGAAAGATTGAAAGAGTTTCCTGATTTTTAGACAAAACTTTGACTTTTTCCCAAACCATAAAAATATTTTAGTTTACTCTAAAAATAATTTTGAACTTAAATAGATTTTTTAAAATAAATATTTAATTATTATCCATTATTTTTTCATATAGGGGTCGTCCATAAATTACGTAAGACATTTTGGGGGGAGGGGTGGGCCTGCTAAATCTTACGAACCGTAGAAAAAATGGCGCTAATGTATGTAAAAAATCTTACAAAGGGGGGTGGGTGGTCAAATTTTCCAAAAAAGTGACATACGTAATTTATGGACGGCCCCATAGTAGGTATTCAAATTTCATAAAAATTCAAATTTCAAATCCTTTAAATTTGAATAATTTTTAAGAATTGCTACTGTAACTTATTAAAAATTATTTTTAAAATTTCAATTCAATTGTATTCTAGAAATAACTAAAATATTTCTAAAATCCACTTGTTTACAAGACAATTTCATGAAATTTTGAATAATTTGAAAATTTTTCAATTAAATATTACATATTTAAAAACATAACTAATTTGAAAAAATTTGAATAAAAATATTTTTAAAAACTAACTTATTCAGAATTTTTAATTAAAATCTTTTAAAATTCAACTTTTCTAAAACTTCAATTTGAAATTCTTTAAAATTCAATCTATAATAATATTAGTAATATTAATTTAACATTCTAAAATATAGAAAAATTTGCTTATGAATAATTGTAAAAAAACTAATTGACATTAATGAAAAATACGGTTTTTTAAAATTTATTTTCTAAGAAAAGAAATTTTATTTATTTTTATTTACTTTATTTATTATTCAAAAATTAATTTTTATAAGATTCGTAATCACTTTTGTTCTAATTAGTTCAAATTTTTAATAATTCTTATTTGTTTTGTTATAATATTATTGCAAAAAAATTTTTAAATTGATTTATTTTTCACTATTTTATAGGATGTGAAATTTTTTCTCTTTGAAATTTTTTTGACAAGTTTAATTAAAATTATATTTTGTTTAATTATTGTTAGAAATAGAAAGAATTTAAAATTAAATTTAATATTTTCTTTTTCTAAGTCTGCTACGTTGGACAACAAAATTCATAATTTTCTTATAAATTCTAGAAATTGAATATTTTTATAGTACTTTTGATAAAATCCCTGACAAAATAAATAGATTTTATAGAAGATTATTCAATCTTTTTTAATGAAATATAATTAATAAGTACTAAAATAAATATTTCTATTTTTTCTTACAAAATAATGTGTTTTTAAAAAAAAAATTCAAAATCCCGGTCAAGATCAAAATTTACTGTCATTTCCCGGTTTCCCGGTCCAGCGGCCACCCTGTTTTAGTTTATGATATATGAATGAACATTGGTCCGTCACGAACTAAGACTATTTGATAGAAATAACACGACTTTTCAAAATTATGTCAAACCGGAAGGACACCATATATGCATTTGGGTATACTTTACAAAATTTTTATTCTACTAACTGAGATCTCCAACCTAAAGATAAGTTTAATGTTAAAACCGTAAATATTAATAAATTAACTTTTTATGTGGCAAAAGTTATGAATACTTAACGCTTTAAGGTCGTATCGTATCTTCAAAAAGTATTAAAATATTAAAGTGACAAATGATATCTGGGAGTTTTTGGGGTCGCTGATTACGAATCTGATGTCAGATTTTCAAAATTACGAATCCAACATGACGGACCGACATTTTTGAATTTGATGAATTTTTATAAAACTTAGTTTCTATGGGTTTTCGGGATCGCTGATTACGAATATAACGCTAGATTTTTAAATATCAAAATGGCGATTCCAAAATGACAGACCAAACTTAAAAAATTTCATGGATTTTGATGAAACTTGATATCTAAGAGTTTTTGGGGTCGCTGATTACAAATCTGATGTTAGATTTTAAAAATTTTTAAATGATAAATTTTTATAAAACTTGGTATCTAGATGTATTTGGGGTCGTCGATTTCATGAATTTTTATGAAAGTTTGTATTGGATCCGCCATTTTGAATTTTGAAAATTTAAAACCAAATTCGTAATCAGCAGCTCCGACAACCCATGGGTACCAACTTTTTAAAAATCCATCCAATTAAAATATTTCAGTCCGCCACATTGGATCCACAATTTTGAGAGTAAAGTACTTGACTATTTAAGCAGCTTTTCCAAATTTTCACATATTTTCTATCGAAATAAAGCTTAAACATTAAACTTACGAGCAAAAATAACGTTCACATATAGTTTTCGGTTTCATAGTAGAATAATCAATATACTTAACCCATTAAATGGCAACTATTTTAGACGTCAAATCTTTGCTATGGCACTTAAAGGGTTAAAAATATTATAAATTTTCGCATAATATATATTAAAGGAGGCTAGGTACAATTGACCCGTCGTGCATTTAACACATTGGAATATCGCTAAAGATTGATCTTCTATAAATAATTAACAAACATTTATATTTTACAAAGTACACTTTTTTTTTTTTTATTTTATCAATAATGTTTTCTAAATATATACCTTTAAACATCCTGCTTTCAATGTTATTTCGAATAAAGTAAATAATCTTTTTTTAGGTAAATATTAATAATTTTTAAGTTTAACCAAATATAAAAGTAGTTTACGAAACAAATATTTCTGTCATTCCATTTTATTATTTTCGGCTTAATACATCAAAATCATATTGTTAATCCTCATTCATAATAATTGCTTCAAAATAGATACTTTTTTCACTAAAGCTTAAGTTATCAATGCTTTCGAAATTTAAAAAATAAAATTTTTTATTTACATTGACTCGAAGTGATCGTTTATTTTAACATTTTCCTAATTATTAATACGACCGATTGATAGTATCAATCTTATAATTGTTATTTTACTGATTAAATAATTAATAATTTATGTTTTTACTAACCTGTCTACATGAATTGAAAATTATTTTTTCTTGTTGTCAATTAAGTGCGATAAAAACTTTGTTTCAAAAAGAGAACAATGTTCCAATGTTAAAAAATTGTATCCTTGTTAGATTAAAAAATTTTTAAATAGATTTTACATTTATTCTGCATAATTAAGATAGTAAAACTCGTGAGTTAAATGTATTTTTTATATAAATCTTTATAAAATCATAAGAAAGGCTCTTACCTTTACCCAGCTATGCCTGCACCATACATTATTCCCTCAGCCTCTTGAAGAGCTTCATTCTTGTAATCTTTCGTTTCTAATATCCGTTTTGCGTTCTTTTGAATAGCTACTAGATAAACGTTGAGCTACCCGAGACGTTTATTGTATCACTTTTTAAGCGTTTTCTCGATTCGTCAATGTATATATAACACTCTAAATTTCTAACGTATTCAATGCACAAAACTGATATCTTTTAAAAATCGAATTATTTAGTAAGTAAATTCACACATTTAACGATAGTTTATTCCGTTTGAACGATTAATGGCATCAGTTGAATATAAAATTCCTTTCTATAAATGTAAAATTATATTTTGTTAATTGAAAATAAAATATTACAAAAAACAAGAAACTATAAAAAGAATTTAAAAGTGACTTTTAAATATTTTTTTAAAAAACTACTTATATCTTATAATCAGGGATCTTAAAAAATTAAAGGTGATTGGATCACGGACCCTTACGAAAAATTACCCTTACAAAGTATTAAAATTTGAATCGACGGGGATGAAGTCAATGGCCCAGTAGTAAACAGAAAAACAAAGCATAAGAATTGTCAAAGTAAATCAGAACAGATAAGAAATTAAGAGTATTTCGTTTCGTTAAGAAAGTGTATTCACTTGCTCCTATTAATATTTTTTATGTCTTCCTTTTTATTAATTGGTTTGACATTGGACTGACATTTTGCCACTAATTTTTCTGTCAAAATTTTTCGAGACCATTTTTAGCCACTAAAATTTATTAATTTAAGCAGAATTAGAACTTATCATAGGTCTGTCTCGTTTCGTGTCAAGTCTCTTGTAAGATCTTTCTTTCGTATCAGCGTGTGAGGATCTGTGGTTTTCGTGAAATAAGAATTTAAATGATTTTGCGCATGATTAATTGTCAGCGTACGTCGCATTCACAACCACCCTTTCCTATTTTCTTTCAGGTGCCGTTCCGTGGAGGATAAGGAAGAAGAGTTCTTCCGAAAATTGCAAAGGAAAAACAAGGCAACGACTTGATAATGAGTAAGCCTACTGGGGACAATCAGATGGTTCGACACTTACTTGCGGGTTTCCGAGAAGTCGTGACTCGATTTGACGAGTGTCATTATCGAGAGATATTAGAGTTTTATCAATTCATTTTATAGTTTGTTAATTTGAATTTAATTAAATAAATAGTTGTTTTTGTTAGACGTGTGTTTTAATGTATTTGCGTTCATTGAGGGCCGGAGGAGAGTACCAGAGAGTAGAGAAATATTGGTTGCGTCTCAACGGTCAAGTTCGAAAAGTTCGTTTGGTTGTTCGTTGTTCAGAGGACCGTTTTGCATCACGGCATCAGATTGACAGAATTCCCCAATGAGATTGTGTGGATTTTGAGAAAAGCGGTAGTTGCGAGTAGCAGAGTACTTCTTGGATGGGATTCGATGCAAATGTTTCGAATTGAATATTTAAATGTATTAATGTGATTCATCAGTAATCTCTACGTCACACAATATATGGTTCATAAATTATTACTTTTTGTTGGAGTAGTATGTATATTGCAGTTTTTTAGTAAAAGAGCTAAATCTATGGTTGCATTCTATCTATAAATATAATCATTTTTATTTTTGTTTGTGTGACTCTATTTAGCATATCACATACATTGTATGCAATGTTTTAAAAAAATCAGCGTCTGACGATGCTTCCTTGCAAGGAGGCGAAAAATTGTCCTACTTATGTCTATCCTCATGTACATTGTAGTAAAAAATATAGTGAAAATAATTATAATTTATCTTTATAAGGTTTTCAGCGAAAAACTCGAAATTTTATATAAATTCTTAAAAACATGTTTACTTTCCCTTCTAAACATTACTATTTTTGACCTAATGATTAGCAAATTTGCATTATGATATATTTTTAAGAATATGTAAAAAATTGTAATTTACTTTTATAAAAATAAGCATTAATTGCTAATAATAATAAAAATTAATTGTAATAATTAATTTTAATAATAATAAATATTAATTGTCATTAAAAAAAACAAGGTAGAAGGATTATAATTTTTCGGTGCTGTTCTTTCGGTTTTAATGCCCTGCAGTTGTTATTCGTTCAAGTATTTTATTCCTCGCAGTGCATATTTGCTATTCACTAATTCTTTTAAAAACTGTAGCTTTAAGCAAGTTTGATATTAATAAAATATTCACAACCCCTCATAACTGTTTACGTGCCATTTGAACGACCCTTATGCAATATTATATTATCGCTTCTCTCTTAATACATCACCCACGTGACACTTTCTCTAAAGTATACCCTAGTTGCAAACGAGATAAGTAGATACCTACAGTAAATGCATTGTTGTGTACTGTTAACTAACAAGTATAATACTTATACTTATTCTTCTGGAAAGTGTAGGTTTAACCATGTTTAAAATTTGGGTCGAAATATTTCTCTTAATTAATTATTCGCCAACTTAAAATTTCTATTAAATAAAAATTCGTCGTCTTGGGAAGTCAAGAAATATGGATTCGTGAAAATTCTATCCAATAAAAATTGGGTTTAAAATCAAGATTCAAATCAATGATTTTTATGAGATATTTACACACTTCAATATTGCATCCAATAAAAAATAGTTTTACATTTTCTAAATGCAAAAATTTTAAAAAGTAAGAAGTAAAGAATGATTAAAAAGTATGATATTTCATAGAAATGATAATAATAATTGTAAACAGTGCAATTGGTGTAAGCAGAAGTTTTCAGTCGAGGTCTATATTTTTATTCGTAGACGTCCGCATGAAAAGGGTTCATTTTGGCACAATTGACAATTTGGCTAAATAGGCGAATTCCTTGCAAAATTTGGAAAAATTTTAGAGATCTTTGTCACTTTAGGTGTAAAAATTGCTGATTTATAGAATTACGTAAAAACTGAATATATAAAAATTTTAAATGGCGAATGTTTTTAAAATTGTCTAAATTTCTATGAATCATATTACTTGTGGGTATATTCAGGGTCGGTGATTTTTAATCTCAGGTCGGTTTTCAAAAATTCAAAATTTATTGGTTATGACTTCTATTCAATTACTTAAGTTTAATAAATGATTCAGTAGCCTTAACTAATGAATAAATAGTTTTCCACTACCAATCGATAGTTTTTGATTAATTTAGTAAGATCGCTTACTAATTAATTCAATAAACGAATTGACCCTATAATTTCTACATGATATACGTTTTTAATAAAAGTTTCTCGAATGTAAAAAGCACTTCCTCTTTCATGAGTACAAAATTTTATACGCTGTTGCTGCAAACCTTGTGTTTTCACTACCGCGGACTTTAGGTCACTACTGTGGTATCAGTAATTAACTGTTTCTAAAATAATAATAAAGTTGAAATTATCCATCATGTTTCTAAAATATCTTTGTGAATCTTAGCTTTGAAGTAGAATCACTTTTATCAATGATTCTGCTAATAAATAGAAGTGGACTACTGTTAATGCCAATCTATTGTTTAAAGGTTTAAAGGAAAACTAGAACCATAAAATTCACAGTTTGTGAATAAACACCCATATATTCATACAATAATTGAAATATAATTTTTCCAGGATCCCAATGAGCACACTTGTTCAAAACAAGTCCTAAGGATATCTTGTTGCGGACTTCTTTTGGACTCTGACAAATAAAAACGTCCTAAAAATGTTCCATGTCTTAGCCATTGAATGCCTTTAAGATGTCTGAAGGACGCCTTTTTGTTCCAGACTTAGAAAAATTTTCATAAATTGAAATATTATTTTCTAAGTTCAACATAGACTTAGGAATGATACTAAAGATAAATGTTATTGGGATTTTTGTAAGTTAAATTTATTTCATTGACAAGTGAAATCATAAACTTTGTAAAGGTTCATATTTGTCTTGAACGGCTGAGATGCTTAAGGCGCAATGCTTCAAGCTCAAAGCATCTGAGTTCGATCCCAGCTTCGTAGAAATTTTTTCATTATTTCTGTATAATTTATAAATATAAAATTAATAACTTAACTTTAATACAATATTACTGTATTTTAACTCAAAATATTTTGAAAGAAATGTCTATTTAATATCTAAAGGGATGTGAAAAAGACGTCCCTTTTATGTCTTTTCGTCCAAAAGTTATCTTTTAGACGTAGTTTAGACGCTCTTCCAGATGACTTTTGATCATCTTTTGGACCAAAAATAGGATGTCTTATAGATATAATATAGTTATCTTTATTATGTCTCAGAGACATTACCATCATAATAAAAATTCATTTAATGCTTAGTTGATAAAATATTTGATAGTTGACTATCACAATAATTTTTACGATTAAATTTTGTGCCCATTAGTTGAAAACAACTATAAATTAGGAGTAAATATAACATTTAATCACTCTGCCTCATTGTATTGATTAAAATCTTATTTAATTAGCAAAATTTCATATTTTTTTCAAGAACACCATTTTTAAAGTCGATTATTTTGAATCTTCAAAAACCTTTCACTGGAAGTAGATATAGATGTTACTAGTCCATACCTGTTCTTCAATATCCAATTGGAATTGCGTGCAAAGACGTGCGGAATTTGAAATAATAGTTTCCTTCTTGAATAAGCTTGTTTTTCCGGAATAAGTGTAACCTTTCGAATTTAAAGTTGCTTTAAGCGTTTGCATTCATTTCTTTTCTTTCCATTCATATTGTTTTGTACGAATTTACATATATAGGTAATCATTTTGAATTTTGAAATTTTGTCTTCGGATTCATAGTCAGCGACCATAAAAGTCCCTACATTCTAAAGTTTATGATAAATAATCAATGTTTTTTATAAAATGACAACCATATTGAAATTAACATTTTGAAATTTAAAATTTTTATTTCAGATTCATAATTAGTGACCCCAAAAACCCTCAGACACAAAGTTTCATAAAAATTGGACAATGAAATTAGTAATTTCTTACTGCCAATTATTATTATTTAATTATTAATTGTTTGTGCCAATTATAACATTCTTGGTAATTTAGTAATACAGTAAATTTTCTATAACTTTTCACTTAGAACAATTTTTTTTTTATTTTTACAAAATATTTTTATATTAACAATTAGTTTTTAAGTTATTTTGTACTTTTATAATTTTATATTATATATCATATATTACTACACGCATGTATATATTTTCGCAAGATTGCTGCAAATTATAAAAAAAAATTTCAAATTAAAAAAATTAATTTTAGTTTTTTATTTTATCAATTTGAAGATCTTTCTGACGTACACTATTATTAATTATTCTTTCCTTGTTTCATTTTGGAACTCAACATTGATGAGAAATTTTTGAAAATA